GTTCGCCTTCATACTTAGCGATTCCATTGTTCCACAAAGCGGTCTTACTGGCAGGCGACAGGCTAACAGGTTCAACTATTGTAAAAAAGTACTAGGGAGAGCTGCTTACTGATTTCTAGGTGCTCCTTTATTTTTGTTTCGCCTAACAGCAGCTCAGAATTGGCATTTGCCCATTTGTGCGCTTTTAAGCTGTGGTTACGATAGAAAATAACGAAACAGCAAAACGACACACCAACAAAAAGTACAAATAAGCTGCTACCTTATTACACGCAGAACAATCCAGCGTTTAATTTCTGTGTGATGTGAACGTTGCATGATGCATCCGTGGTGGGTGTGTTTCATTCTATTTTTCAAGCACCAATGTATGAGAAGAAACGTCTCCGAAATTTCCAAGATTCCAACTCGAACTCAGTCATATTCACGCTGAAAGAGTGCGTCTACTCGCGCTGTGGCTCTAGCGCACTGGACCAATGCGGAATAGGATAATTTACGCACCTTCCTCACATATGACTAACCACCATTCAATATTGCCACTAAAATGCGTGTTCAAATGCAGTTATAGTACGGTACGATGTCGTGTTCTTGAACAACAACACCACTTCTGTATACATTCACAAATACAGCATAAAATTCTGCAACCAACAAACTCATTGTTTAACAGTAAAACATGAAAAGTATGTCAGCAACGGGCACTCTGACAAGCTAGGCGGAATGTGGTGTGTACCCACATGCTCTTATTTTTCAGTTACTCTCGGGACAGTGATCGCCTCTCACATTCAAGTCGGCAACATAACTAGTAAGGTCACTGAAAACGTCCACAACTTTGACTGGATGGACCTCAGCCTTGTACGAATGAGTGCTCATAAAACATCATCGTTGAATCCTAGAATCTCTGAAAACATTCACAACATTGACTGGATAGACATCAGCCTTGTACAAATGAGTTCTCAAAGAACATAATCATTGAATCTTAGAAATGATTATGAATGTTGGCGTAAAACTTTGAGGGCCTGCCTTGCGAACAGTGAAGTAAGAGGTCAACGTCAAGTTCACTCCGCCACATTTCGAGAGAGCACCCCTGTGCGAGGAGCCAAGTTCCATGTTGTCGCACGACACAATATTGACAATGGATTTGCTTTCCACGACTAAGTTGCTGTTCAAATATGAGCAAGTGAAGAAACAAACGAAGGATGAATAGAATTCACTTTGCTTGTTTTACATCACATAAGTGAGGCGTGGATGACCGAAAATAAATTTCAACTTGAGTAGCTTGAAGGTGACCCTGTCGAGCTCTAGCAAAGAGTAGTTCACGGGGTTTAGTATTACAGACCGTAAACCAGCCCTGATACTTTGCTAGGACTGTTGAGGGCTGGAAGCAGATCCTCCTTTTAACAAAACAAGGCTACAAAAGCAGCGTATTTCTACAAATCAACCTATGGACGAAAGTACTTTCAAAACGTCCTTTCGGGAATGCTCCGGGACTACGTTAATTTCTTGTTTTACGGTGGCATTCCAAACGTGGCTCTCCACTGCTTGAATGGCGCAGTACTGCCGTTGAAGTACTGTGCCTCATGATTTATTGCCTCATGCGTTATTTTCAGTTGGCAAGAATTTGAATGTTTTTGCTGATTTGAGCTCCACCATTTAAAAAGCAGACCACTGCGGCTGTTAGCTTGTACAATATTTACGAAAGCATCAAACCAGGAAGCATTCCCAGTAGCTTCGTTGAAACCAGCTCTTATAAGAACTGTGGCAACTTACCACGGTGCTTATATCACCACATCTTGAATGTATGTGGCTCTAAATGTCACAGACGTCACGACAGATCAAACTCCTAAAAATTATACCACACATATGTCGACAGTTTAGAATTACAAATATGTCTACCTGGGTGTGGTCAAGAAGAAAACATTGAGATGATGTGATGAGACTTGAAAGATAGAGCACATTTACTGTATTCTAACCCGTGCATTTACGCTAGAAAACTGATTTACTCTAACACAATTGGCAGCTGATCTAATGGTAGGCGTTGACCCGGGAATGTGCATGACGGCTCGCGAGTCTGCTTTGCCGCAACGTACGCCCCACACGCGGGCTCAATGCTTGCATGGCATTTGAAACAATTTGATGAAGAGCCAAGCGAAACCTGGACACGCGAATGTCCTTATGGACACCGTTTTCTCGTGTCCGTGTTTAGTTTCGCGCTGCAAGAAATTATTTCAAATGCATAATCAGCAAGTCCGCACTGAAAATCTTATTGGCTTACATGGCGTTCCCTAGTGTCATGCGTAGAGACAAGCACCACGTATACCACAAGCTCCTACAGTTAAAGCAAGGGCCAGCGATGCACAAAACGTTTCGCCGACCATTGACACCAGCGACGCAGCCCACTGGGTCGAGGGTGAAACAACAGCACAGAACACAGCACGGAACAACACCATGGAAAACTGTCCACCATCCCGAGGAGGTCGAGACGCGAGGTCATTTTCAGACGCTACCACTAGAGGGCTACACGAAACAGCGGCAACAACGTGATGCAGCGGCAGCTCTCAGGCTGCAGACTGGCGCTTACATCGCAGTGCATAGATGCCTACAGCTGTGTCAGGGCACGTTTAACGTAGCTGCAGGAGTGATGGCATTTCACAATATGTCCCTCAGACTACACGGTCGACGCCGTTAATTTCCATCGAGAGCATTGACGATGTACGACTCCATCAGTTTGTTGCTACTTATGAGCGACACATTCTACTACGTTCTACACAAGCTAGAGCCGCAATTTCTTCACATCGTTTCCGCAGTTCACTTATGGGAATGAAGGCGTCAGGGTCAGAAGAAATATGTTGGATCGGGATTCATTGCATACATATGCAGCACCGCGTTACGTTGTAGGAAGTTCTCTGTTCATCTTCTCCTGGTATAACCTAAAGACGTTTGATAAAAGCTAGCATGTGGTACTCCGTCACTCTCAAAGACACTGCAAGGACGAGAAAGGGGCTTTTTTTTAGGCAATTTATGCTTGCGGACGCCGGGTAGTAGCATATCTCCTGCTTTTAAGGGTGAGCCACAACGCAAGTGCTTTCGCGCGTCTAAGTATGAATTTAATGTGCAGTAGGCAGATTCGCACATGCAATGTCCTGTGGTTAAAGCGTTTCTTGGGTTATATTTTAACTTCGCATCCGAGGCGTAAAACGGGAAGCACGCTTAGGTAGGACACACCTTGAATGCGACATTTCAACATGAAATGCACTAAACCATATATGATTTGGATTGCATAAGCTCCTGTGAATCACCTCTGTCGCGAAACTTGCCAAAAATTCGAAGAAAAAAAATTACAGCAAAAAAAAAAAACAAGCGTCGTTCACTGTAAATACACTGACTGCTGTCTTCAGAGACCATAGTTAAAGCAAGAAAGAACAAAATGGAGGAGTAGCTTTGATTCTCAGTACGCACGCATATTGGTGCCTCTCTCACTGCGTTTAACGCGCACTAACATGAGTGACTTTCCAAGGTTAAATTGAGTATGTCCTGGTGTTTCTGTGTACCTTTTTCATGTCGCCGTTGTTTGATGTAAGAAAAAAGTGTCACGTATAACCGTATATATAGGCAGCAACCAGGGATGTGAACACATTGGTAAATGGAACTCATATCTAGAAATAAAGGGCCCAAGTCTTAGGAAACATTTTGAAATAACAGAGAGCTACTTGCTGAAGGAGTGTGACGACTTGTGCGCAATACTTGCACGTACTATGTGCATTAGAATCACGAATAAATTGCTCATTCTATTTCGCAAAAGCTTTTAGAGATCAGGACTGGTCTTTAACTGATAGTGGATGAACAATTATGCTATGACAATGGAATTAATAAAACGCCCCATCTTAGAGCTTTTTCGTGGTGATGCAGGAGTTACTTAATTTTTGAGTTTACGAAGTTGTGGCATCCATGGATTCTGCTTTTAATAGGAAAAGATGTTACATCTTGAAATTTCATCCTGCAAGGACAAATCAGACGTAGAATGTTCTTGCGCACGATTTGACGGCTTGATAAGTACGCGTAGAGTACCAAATAAGGGCTGCATTTTAAAAACGGCTGCATTTTAAAGCTGCTATAGCAGAATAAACAAGGTTATGTCGATGATGCTTAAAACCAGTCACATGTAGCGATTTTTTACCTAGCCCTCCAACCTTTTCACTTTACTGATAAATGCCCTGCAACTTTTTTTTGGAGGCAGCATTCTAAAAGGTACCCAGTGTGTGATAAAGTATTCTTCTTTCCGTACTGCGACACTGAATGATGCCGTAATTATACAGCAGCGCAGTAATGCGAACAAGGAAGACACCAACTGAACGAAAAGAGAATCATGTGAAGAAAATCAGACAGGCCTCATGGTTGTGGAGGTTCAGCTTTTTAACAACTTCGAATGTTTGCCCATTGTGAGTTTGCAGCTTTCGCTTGCTAGAGCTGAACATTCCACCGAAAACTATGCACTAGTGTCGTGCTCTTGGGCATAAAATCTGATGAAAAGAAATGAATCCTAACTTTTCACTGCTCTTGATGTATCCCAATCAGGGTGCGAGGCGGCCTGTGTGCACCGAGGAAGTTGGAACCTCGTTGTGCGTAACAGTGACTTTGTAAGCTCAGACTGGGCGGTTTCGTGACTCGATGATTTTTTTCCCTTTTACGGAATAGCGTCCGTCAAATGCGTAAGACGGTGGGCGGGAAATACGCACGACTTTCACGCGCACTCCTCTGCTCTATTCACGCATGATGTTCTGGGCAAGTTGAACACGTAATGGCGACCACAGCTCTTCAACCATGCCAGCGGTGATAACTCTGTGACCGCGTGTGTCGCACTCCGGGAAGAGGAAGGGGTGAGCGACTTGGCGGCATGCTCACTGTTATGTTAACTATTGCGCAGAGGTCAACTACAACAGCCCATACTTGAAGATAAGCTTCATAATAACAAACGGCATGGACACATGATACTAGAGAGACAGACTGGGTTTTGCGCTGGCTAACATGAGCTTTTATTCATGTGTACAAAATATATTCGCTTCCTTGAAAATGAAAAAAAAAAACAAGTTTGCTTTATTTTCTTCTTTTTGCCCTTTCCAAGAAAGTTTATATATTTGTTCACACGAAATGAACGGTTATGTTGTTAGCGAGCGCAAAGTTTTCTCTTTCGAAAACAGTGTGGCCGTGCTGTTTCTCATGATGAAGCCATGCCAACAAGCTCGGGTTCAAGCCCTCGCGAACAAAATACGTGGAAAACAATAAAAGAAGATAGGAGACAGCCCTAATCTTTGACTTCGCTGTCTGGTAGCCGAGCCTCTCACGTCGGCGTTCACGTGTATATTGAAATTAAACATGTCTTTCGTAGCACAGTTTAAGCGAATGTCAGAGGCTACGTATAAAGAAGCGCGTACTTGAGATCAGCACCGGCACATTTGGCAGCAGTACCAGCTTTTCATAAGTAAACCACTTGCTCTATCAATGAACTCATTTAATTAGTTTTCATTATTGATACGGATCCTGCATTAGTTTTTACTTTATATAAACGTATGCTTCAATAGAATATCTATCCAATCCAATGAAGTTGGACCAGAACCATTAATTTCGTACAAGTTATACTTCTATAAATTAAATTTTATTAATGTTTAAAAAGCGGGCAGTAAGCGCTCGACCGGATGTACTTGAGAAAAAAAAACTCGTTGCTCGTTCCGTTAAAAAGTGTTCGGAGATGACCAAATTAAATAAGGCTCTTAGATATCACAGAAATTATGCAGAAATCATTTTGAAAGGTCCTTGATGACGATATAGTTTTTATGCTAGCAAGGTGACGTGCTAAGTCTGATAACGTCAAGCTAGCAAAGTATTCAAGGATCCCAAAATGGAGATTCAAAAAGGGTATGGTTGAAGAACTCGGCAAGTTTCGCAATGTGTTCCACGCTCCTCTACATTCCCCGCAGTCTTGTAGGCGTGGCACGGAAAATCAAAACGTTTTTCTTCCACCTCCTAACGTTGTCCGTAAAGCGAAAAAAAGTTTTCCACAAAACACTCCCCCCCCCCCCCCCTTGCAATGACCAGCCGCCACGTGAAGCAGCAAATATGAAGTGCCGTGAGCATTTGTCGATGGTGTTGCGTATGTGGGAGGCGCCTTCCTGAGTGTCAAAGTGCGGTAACAACATCACAGATCGGTGCCTTGCGGTACTGTGTTCCCGGCTCGAGGACCGGCTGTACCGACGACGTCAGGTTGATGGCAGCGTCTGAGACGTCGGCGCTGGCCCCTCTTGGGCAGTTGGTTTTGCTGGCCGCGTCATCAGCGTTCGGTCAGGTGCAGTCTTCTTGCGCCTCTCGAAGCGTGGCACAAATTTCCGTGAACGAGGGTCGGTCATCAGGCCTGCAAGAAAGCGTGGAGTGCATTGAGATCGTAGTTTTAAAAGCGGAGCTCGTTAGACATGAGGTAAAACTCTGCCGATTGACAAAGAGCTCTTCACGCCGTCACCCACCAATAACCTAGCCATAACCAGCTGCGCACACGTCGGGTTTACCCTCCCTTAGCCGTGCAAACACCCAGGAGCAGGCAACGCCAAGCTACGCCTACCAAACAGAGACAGTTCGCCGCCACGCGTAGCTTGCCCAGCGTGGAGCGAGCCGACTACGAGCGACAAAAGGCTCGCGCTTCTATGGACAGCGAGTTATGCAAGCTAGTTTCTGGCCGCTGTAGTATCGACATTCTTGCATGGTCGCGTTCGACAGCTTTCGTACTGTCAGTCTTTGGTTGCTTTACACGAATGGCATCAACTTCTTGATTCCGAAATGCTCTTGAAACACGCTTGCTTCTCAATAAGTTTGAGGTGGGAAGGAGGAATAAGAGATTAATTACGGTTTTAATAAACGTACGAATGTTTTTTTTGCTGAAAAGTTGTTACGAAGTGGAACACAAACACTGGGCAACACAAAGGCACATAGTGCGACGCCATAAGTCCATGCTGTTTTCTACAAAAATTCGTTTACGCAACACTAATATTGACTAAGCACAAGTATTTCCTCAATTAAAAGCCGCACAAATATAAAAGTTCATTAAACGTTGTGATCAGCGTTTATGAGACACTTGAAAATTGTATTTTTAGAGCCGCGCTGTAAGTGTAACAATTTGGTTTTCACAAAAAGGCCCAGCCAAAGCTAACGTATGACAATTTCGTAGCCAAGCATACTGGCTTAATTTAATTAGGATCAATTTTTCTAAACATCTCTAAATATACTATAGTAGTAATGTGCCTCATAAATCCAGATTCGACAATTAATCAAGTTACCTTATGCGGGCCAACCATGAATCCATTATTTTTTCGTTTTTAGCCCCCGTAATACTCAGCAGATGTACACAGGCCATCGAGATTATTCAGATACATGCGTCCCTAAACTATTTTTAAAGAATGTTGAATATTATCCGCTTCCCTTTGCAAGATGAAAAAGTGTGTCTAAATAAGCTTTATAATCCTAAAGCTTTAAATATTGATTTGTGAGTTTTTATTCTTCATTTACCATCGTAAAATATGCTCCTTGTTCTTTTATTTGTCTTGTTCGTTATCTGCGAGATTGTACAACGATATTGTTTTGCTGCTGAATGCACTCAGGGTATACGTTAGAGTATTGCGGTGACCATCATTTTGGTCTGCGGCTAACTGAGAACTTCGTTGTCTGAAATAATGAGATGAATTTAATCCATTGCGACAGCATCTCTACTGATTAACGTATAGAGTTATAGACTTCCGAAAAACAGTCACAGGTTAAAGGAGCACGGTGACGTGGTTTTGAGGCACTTGAAGAGGGAGAGAGAGAGAAAGAATTTATTTACAGAAAGGTAGAGAGGTCAGCCTGAGCTATAGTTTGCTCTGGCCTGCTACTCTACACTGGGGAAGGGTGACTGGGGAGTGAAAGAGTGATGAATGACGATGGTAAGGCAGAGAGATGATACGTTCTTATTAGGCTTGGTAACTCTTCAGACGTGCATCCAGTCCAGTGGCTTCTAAGAAAGCGATGACGGCACGTATAACCACTTGTGTGCTGCTGGCGTCAGGCCAAGGACCTAACACAACCTCATCGGTTAATGGTCGGCTAATGTATCGGCCAATCGAAGATATCAGTTGCTGACGTTCGCTTGCATATGCTGGACAGTCGCAAAATATATGTTCGAGCATTTCCGGCAACCGACAGTGACCACAATTGGGACTTGTGTCATTACAGCCAATCAAGTGGGTGTAACGTCTCGTGTAAGCCACACCGAGGCGAATGTGGCGGATAATGCATGAGATGCTTCGCTTTAACTTGAAGAGGGATATTTGCATCCACAGCGTGCATTGTAAACGCTTTCTGCACACTGAAGCCAGACAACACGCTAAAAAATATTTTACTCTCATTCTGATTTTTGACAAGCATCTGGAAACCAGCCTCACCAGCAATCTACATTATCCCGTGAAGTCAACACTGGGTTTGCGACAGTGGCGCTCCATATGCTTAAATCACAGAAAACGCTGTCGGAGTCTGTGGACAATCGTTAACTCGTCATTGTTTACGTGAACAACGTGCAACTGACCAGGAACTGACAGCATTGGCTAGTATGCTCCGGGTTGCAGTCTTCCCGTGGCGTCAGACTTGTGCTGATTCGTCACAGTGAAGTCACCTTGTAGATATCGAAAACGAAATTGTTTTTTTAAGGCAGTGGTATAAAAATATATTTATTGCATCGCCAAGCCCTCCTACAGCCTTTTCTATGTTCTCAACACGCGTGTTTTTATTTAGTGAACCAACGCGATAATATTTGAAATTCGTGTCAGCATTTCTTGAAGTCTTGCTTTAAAAATGATAGCGCTAATCTTTTTGTGGATTATCAACAGGAACGTATACTTTTTTCAGGTGTTGCATGATCCCTAATGAACTATCGTGCATTGTACATCTACTTAACATAACCTAAGCATCTTAAAGGGGCTCTGCAACACTTTTTGAGCATGGTCAGAAAATGCTGCCGGCATGTAGTAGAAGCTACCGAGAACACGTGATCTAAATCTTATAGCGCAGCACACGGCCTGGAGTTCACAATAAATGATCAAGCTGAAAATTGCTTTCCTTTCTCTCGAGAAATGATAGAAGGCACTCAAAAATCACACATAGAAGACCATCCATCAGCCATTGGCTGATTTGAGCATGGCTCGCTCGGTCGATACATGGATTGCCGCGGGAAGCTGCGACTTGTCCACGCGTGCGCGCGCGATTACAAGGCAAAAGCTGCTTATCCAAAGGAAAAAAAAAAGAAAAGTGCTTAAGGTCAGGAGGCACGCATGACTTATTTACTTTGCCCTACCATCCCTCCCTGCTTAGTTTCCAACTCTTTCATCAAGACGAAAGAAGAGAGAAAGCGACTGCAGTGTGCTAATATTCTTTGAAACTCGGCTCGTAGTGGACGGATTCTTAAAATTTTGATGGCACTGAATTCGTAGGGCAATGAGTTATTTTAGTGAATTCATTCCATGGGTACTTTAAAAAGTGTTCGATGGCCCCTTTAAGGCTTAACACGCCACTCTGAATATGCGCTCTTCTGTCAGAAAAATGTGTGTTAGCAGCTTGTACTGTTTTACCGCTACATCAGTGATTGATGATTGATTGATATGTATGGTTTAACGTCCCCAAACCTTCATATGATTATGATAGAAGCTGTAGCGAAAGGCTGCGGAAATTTCGACCACCGGGGGTTCTTTAACGTGCACTCAACTCTGAGCACACGGGCCTACAGCATCTTCGCCTCCACCGAAAATGCTGCCGGGATTCGATCCCGCGACCTGCGGGGAAGCAGCCGAGTACCTAAGCCACTAGACTACCACGGCGGGGCGACATTAGTGATGAGCGTACGTATCGTTAATACCAGTGAATGTTGTATCGTGGCCAAATGGTAGAGACAAGACCAGTTCGTGAGGTCAGTTCGCGGTAAAGCGCTCATGAAACATCTCTAAAGCTTGGCGAAATAAGACTTTTTTGTGGAAATTCAAGACTGCTGTGAACAGCTCAGCCAGATATTCCCATCGCGCGTGACAAGGAGAGTTTGAAAGGAAACGGGCCCACTGTCATTTTCTTAAGCGTTTTCCTTTCATACAAATGTTTCTGCTCACTTTCTGTAGAGCTGCCGGCGCCTGCCGTTTGACGCCAAACGAGAGATGGCATGTCATAAGCTGACAGTTGACATAAATAAAGAGCTGCATTCGAAAAAAATGCTCTTCTTGCCAGCCTGACACCATAGTTTATCAACATTAAAGAGCATCTTGGGTATTCATATAGAAATGGACTGAACACACTAGGGACCGTAGACTAACAAATACTGTTTGTTTACGATCAATGTCTGTATTGCTTTCAGTCATTCCCTGTATGATAACAAGTACGATGATATAAGACGTAACATGAGCTAGCCCCAGTAGCTGCTCTTATTGCAGTGTACCCACTCGCATAAGCGTGCGCAAGGTACACTTTCAGGCGGACGGGGTAGGGGGGGGGGGGGAGTTTTCGCAGTGCTGCCCTCCCGATTATCATGTCAATGTATGGGGCTGACCTAGGACCCCTGAAACACTGCGCACATAAGCAAATACGAAAAGTCGGGCAGGTCTACACTAGTCTTGCTGAAAGTGAGGTAGTAGTGGAGCTGGCGAAGTTCCCCTCCTTCTTACTTCCATATTTTGTTCCCTCTATCTCTAAAACTTTCTCTATCTTGGTCCTTCTAACTTTCTTCCATTACTTCGCGTCTATCTTTTTATTTCTTGCTGGCTCTTTCAATGTCTTTCTTTTGCTCTTTATATCTTTCTCTCTTTCGTGTATTCTTTTTTTGTGCCGTTAGTTATTTATGTTTCACTCTCTCTCTGTGTCATATATTTTACTCTCTACTTTGCTCCTTTCCCTCACCTTAACATTTGTCCTCCTCTATAGCGCTTCTTTATTGCATTTACCAGCTATTTGTCTTCACCACTTCATTAGGTTATCGCATCGGTATGGCTGACTCCCCCAACTGTGATAACTGCCATATTGTAAAAACTCGACCATGCCCTGTGCCAGTGTCCAGACTTTGAAGAAGACCGCCAGGCTCTCCAGTGTGCCTTAAGGCGGCTGGATGATGAACCCTTTACTTTGGAGATCTTGGGTGCGTGGCCTTCAAGTACTTCAGCCCAGAAAGCCACACGAGTCTTTCTACAATTCTTGAGGGCAACATCTCTGTGCGACCGCCTGTGAAACCTGAACTGTGTATACAATGTGCATGTTGCGCGAAATGTGTATCTCCTCTCTTTTTTTCTCCTTCATTCGCCTTTCCCCGTAGCGGGTAGCAAGCTGCGCTTAGTCTAGGTAACCTCCCTACCATTCTGACATTTTTTCTTCTCTTTATTGTGCTCTGCTAGCCGCTCTATTCTGAATGGTGTGTAAGGAGGTTCACATCATGCCTCACGAAGAAAGTTTAAGGGCAAAGCTCCTAAAGCTGTGGGTCTGTCCCTCATAACTCGTTCGTGACCACTTGTTCTATGACTCACTCAGAATGTGACGACGAATGGTCGGACGTATAGACGGACCGACGGACAGAAAGACACACAGACAGGCAGGCAAGAAGGTGAACGAACGCACAGACAAAAAGACAGGCAGGTGAACGAACGGACAGACAGACAGACAGACAGACAGGCGGAGAGACGAATGCATGGACGGACGGAATGATGGGACAAACGGACCGACAGACGAACGTACAGAAGATTCACGGTTTACCGATAAAACCCTCCGAAGCTTCATTCTACTCATCATCATTCACTCCGTGTATATGTGATTTTTTTTTCTTCTAGAATTCCTTCCTTGCTGTATACGATTAAGTCGACAAAAGAGTACAAGGAGGGCACGTGCTGGTTCATGATGTTTTTTTTTTGGTAACCCCGCACAAAGTACGGTGAATTGCAAAAACATCACAGTTTTAAGAGAGGGAATACACACTTTCCGAATTAATAGACGATCAGTGAGTTCGGTAGTGTTTTTTTTTTCAATAACGCACGCAACTAAACCGTATTTCTCACAGCGTTTTCATTGTGCGCTGGACAACCTCTCTCTATAGTAAGGCAGTCAGCGAATTATGGCGTACGCTGCGTCAAATTTGTGTAGTAATAAAACATTGGCAGAAACATCAGTTAGAATCAGTAGCGAAATCTTGAGGTTTATATGGCAGACTCACTTGTACTGCCAACAGGATTGCATCAGTTGGTAAACTCGGTCGGGACAGTCGTGAGGCTGCTCCAGTCGCTTGCCACTTTCCAGCATTGCCAGGATGCTCTGGCCCGCCAGACCCTGTTTGAATAAAAAAAAAAAAACGCCGCTCACGCATTCCGTACAATGCATCAATAAAATCGGCCTTAGCTTTGTGCTTTACCGAGACGCATAAAGTAAGCCACCACATGCTTCTGTTATATTTAAGGCGACAGCTTTGGCTGCCTCATCAGGTTGGAAAAACACCATCATTTGATGGCTTCCCATTATACTGTAATCTTGATGTTGCAGATCACCAAAATTTGGGAAGTCAATGAAACATCACATAGCACGACGCTGCCATTGCAAGACATCGTCGCTTGTCACGGATGCCCTGATCCTGGAGGCAGCGCATAACCACGCGAGGGGTGGGAAGCCTCTGTGCCGAAGGCAATGCAAAACTACGTCAACGGGAGATAGCTATCGGGGCTGGTGGTGGTGTGGGGGGAAGGGGAGGGGGGATGATCTAAATGTACTGAGAAGAAAAAATTGACCCCGTATCTGCATATTAATCTACAAATGTCGCCGAAAGACGATAGTCTTGCGTGTGGAGAGAGCAAACAAAACATATATTTGATGTTATGCGCAAGAAAGTCGGTGAATGGTATTCCGGAGGCGCTGCGTTAGAATGCCTCGAGCGTGCAGCGGAGGCGAACGAGCGCATCAAGTCACGTCACACGTGAGACATGAGCGCTATCTGGCAGTTTTCCTGGAAAACAATACGCGCGGCTTTCAGACGGGCGTGCACGCCCGTCTCAGAGGTGATAAGGTGTAGAACACAAAGCGATGAGTACGTGCCATCACCGTGTCGTCTTAGCAAAGCGCTGGAAGCACTTTCCTTTTCGTGCAAGCTTTGCATGGTTGGCGCAGCGTGATAAAGGCTACGGTTCTTAGAATTATGTATGCCTTGTCTAGTAACAGACGCACATAAAGAATATTTACGTGTTGTTTGGGGCCTCATAGATTCGCAATAATTGCTTTTTAATTGACAATCGCACAAATATGAACACTTAATCATGAGCAACATTGGTGGGTGCTGCGGATGGGGTCAGCCGTTTAGGGTATCGGCTAGTGCCGTTTGTAATATCCGCTACTGTTAGGAGTGTACAAACAGACAAACGTACAGATAGACAGACCAAAATTTTTGCGTCGGAGGTCCCAAAGAAATACTATCGTCTTTAGAGGAAGATGACTGCCTTCTTTTTCAAATGTGCTTTTTCACCTTTCGCATGGGTGCGGCAGGTGACCCGGCATGTGCGTTGTGGCTTGGCAGGTAACGCTAGAACCGGCCCTAAACCATTCGGTGGTATTGTGGGCTCGTGAAGGAGCTGGCCTCTGTTTTTGCGTGCGTTCGAGTAAAAAGGTGATGGCGTTTGTTGTCACGTGATCATGCAAAGAATGAAAACTGTGGAGGCGCTGGTTCAGAATAGTTGATATGCGGGGTGTAACGTCCCAAACCACCATATGATTATGAGAGACGCCGTAGTGGAGGGCTCCTGGAATTTCGACCACTTGGGGTGCACCCAAATCTGAGCACACGGGCCTACAACATTTCCGCCTCCATCGGAAATGCAGCCGCCGAAGCCGGGATTCGATCCCGCGACCTGCGGGTCAGCAGCCGAGTACCTTAGCCACTAGACCACCGCGGCGGGGCGGTTCAGAGTAGTGAACAAGAAGAAATAGCAACATGTGTGGCGTGATCCCTATCCGGATATATGTGGGTGCCGCCACAATGCAAAAAAAATACAAAAGCAGGATATGAAACTTGCAAACAACTTCTCTCCTTTGATAGAAGCGCTGTTGAAAACAACGATAGGCACAGAGGAAAGGAGGGGGGGGGGAGCAGCTCGATTCAGCGGATGTCACTGCGACAAAAGGTGAGTTCCTGCAGGCACGCGTGCAGCAGGCTCCATCCACGGATGAAGGAATTAAAGATAGGAGAGGGCATGCCCAGCCGGCGCGCCACGTGCACAGTGTGGAAGAAATGACATCATGGCGGCCATATTCACTGGGCACAATGGCGGCGTTGTTATGGTTACATGTTGCACAGTGTAGCTGGCCTAGCAGTAGGCGACCGTCGCTGGCGGCGGCATGTGCGCCTCCGCAGGTCTTGTGTAGAGCCGACGTGGACAATATCCGTGTCCTGCGCCACGTTATAGGTGTTCTTCTGACAGTTACTATACTCCTAGCAACGTTTACAAAACCTTTTATCCGCCACGAGGCCTCAACAGTGCCTAGAACGAGCGCATATATCCACGTGTCGTGCGGCGGATGATGCATTCGAAGTGTTCAGCGAAATCACGTAGGGCACCATGACGAAGCGGAACGATGATGAATACTTTGCAGCTCTTTGATGATTGTGCATTGCTGCTGCTTGTGAAAACGGACGAAACTGATGTACCCAGCAAGACGCAATGAGGACCATAGGCCCGTGTACATGGACGCGACGGGGGCGGGCTGAGTTGAGTGGCGGGTTCAGCTTACCTCGACGTGCCCGTGTTTATATGAACTCGCACGGACGAGTTGAGGTGAGCGGTGATCGCAGCGACGCTTTGCGTCGAGGCGAGCCGAAAGCCCGTTTTCCGGTACCGGTTTCCGCTCCTCCAAGCCTGTGCTCTCGCCGCTGTGGGCTGCGGTTGTTTACGCAGTTGTCGTTCCGCTACCGCGATGGCTGTCTTGGTATTTTTTCTCAGTTTGCACCAGCTGTACTTTATGGTTGTGTTGGTGTCTTGGCTAACACTGCACAACGCGATGGCAGCAGTGGTTCTGTTGTGGCACAGCGCTCGCCGCAAGCGTATCCGCAGCCTGACGCACCGTCCCCTGTTCACCCCTGGCTGGTCTTTCCAGGAATTCGCCGTGATTCATGATTTGTAACGCCTTTCATTTATCTACCTGATGCTGTGGAAGATCCTTTGAAGCCCTACACGCGAGTAATTTTTTGCAATAGGCTTGTCGCTAATACGAATTAAGCGGCGCCCTGAACCTCGTTGAAAATTTTAAATTGAAAACAATAAGCAGTATTTAAATGAAAATGACTAAAGACCCTCATCAGTTGTTGGAACAAAGTGTACAGTTCCGCCACAATTAAGTGCACCGTGTTCCTCTTGCCTCATACGCTCACCCTGTTCGGCTAATCTGATTTCTGTGGCTTTTGGACTGAACAGTGAGATCCTTGAACGATGAATTTTTGATCTGAGGGCTTGTAATTTCAATTGGAATGCAATATACATTTTTGAGTAAAATTTCTATCGGCTTACGTAAAAATTTATACAGCCGCATACCATTTTGCCGTAATTTTACACCTCTATTTCTATTGTGCCTCGTTTATGCTCAAAAATTAAAGTAATTTGCTATTTTTTATATTTCCTTGCACTGGAGACACTATGACGATACAGTACCAATGCTCGCAAAGCTATGTAAGAAGCTAGTTTAGGTTTGTGAGAAATGGCATTTTGACTGCTCAAGTGCAGGGTATTGGTCACTGGGGATTTTTGTTAAGCTTCGTCCATCACTGTGTCAGAATATTTTTTTCCATGAAAAATTTCTTTGCCTCAGCAATGGCTGTACTCACAAAGGCAACATGGCAGCTGTAGACAAGCAATTTGTTTGTTTCAGCACTGTTATAGTGTGAACTGTTTAAAGTGGATAATGCCTGCGTACAGTTGGCGTATGCTTGTTTCGAGCTACATGGTTTTTGATTACTTTATATTGCCAATACCCTTACTTTTAATATTTATGAAGTTTTTTGCTATGTAAATGTACTTTCATTGTAGCCATCCTTTCCTTTGTGAATTTTAAACTGCAGTTCCTGAGTGTGTCTAATTGTATTTATTGCTGAAACTTGTAATGTCATTTTTCCCCTGTGGTGCTGTATATTCCCTGGTCCCTTCAAGCTGACGCTATATTTCTATGGCTCCTGTTGTTAGAACTAAAAGTTGACGCTTTTTTCTTTTTAAATGTTGTCTTCCAGTGTGTCAAAGTTGTGATTTCAATTTTGTATGCAAATAAAAAATTTCAAATATAGTTTCGTCTGAATGGTGCAACAAATTTACGCTTTAGGCTATTTCAAGCAAAAAAAAACTTTGAGGCAATTTTCGCCTTCTACGGTTGAGGCTCCAATTTGTGAAACCTTATTTGAATTTCTCAATTTAAGTTTTTTTTGGCTCTCCCACGCTGTTGCCTTTAGGCTTATGTAAAGGTTTCTTGATTTTTGGGAAGTTTCTGATTTAAATAATTTGATTCATGGGTGCACATGGTGCGTGCACGCACATGGTGCGTGGCTCCACGCTCCATGTGGACATCTGTCCACATGGTGCGTGGAGCCCGCGAGGATGTCATCGTGCCTAGCGCGCGCGTACCGGCCGACAGAGAAAGAGCAACGTCAGAGTGATGGGGACAGGGGAAGCGGAGACTGCGACGGGCGGGAGAGGTCACGAGCCGTCAACTCAGCGCGACCGGTTATACATGCCCTTTCTGAGCGCGGCGAGTTCGGTGAACCTACCCCCTGTCTCCGGGTTGACGGGACTCGCCGCGACGACTCTCCGCCCCGACGCGTCCGCTTATACATGGGGAGGGCGAGTCCAGAAAACCTGTTTATTTAGACTCAACTCGCCCTCGTCGGGTCAATGTAAATGGGCCTCATGTGCACATACGTAGTTTCTTGTTCGGTATATGTGTACAGTAACAACGTGCATGTGCGTAATAAAACACCTTTTGTATTCCGCTTGTTATACTCGTCCCCAGCATTGTAATCTACACGTTAGAGCAACCGCGTTCAAGTGCCACTTGAACCGTGCTCAAAGTCACAATGGTCGCAGAATTCTGACGTCGGCGAGTTTCACGCGGAACACAAGCACAGTGGCCGGGTACTGCGTCGGCTACGTGGCGGAATGCACCCACAGAATAACGCGCTCGACTGATCGCGGTGTCTGTACAGTGCATGAATTAGTGGTGTGAAAAACTTTCCGTTGTCAGTGCAGCTATCGTGCGCTGTCTCTTACTTGCTTCGTTGTCGGCGAGCTGTTACTCACTGTTATTACTCG